TACACTGTGCAATTAGGCCAGCAGGAGACAGTTCGATACAGTAGGAATGTAGCCCTAAGATTCGGGTCTGTGCCAAGAGGCCTTATCTGTGAAAGCAGGACAACTACGCAAACAGGACATGGGTGCATTCCCCCCCATGCCCCGTTCATCTATACATGCGATTCCAGAAATGGCTCTGGATAGAAAAGTCTGGAAAGCATAATCACTTTCCCCTCAGACACTCCTTGATATACACAGGCTGCAAGGGTTTGTCAAGACAGTAGTAAAGCTATTTCAGGAAATGGCTGTGAGGTTCTGTGTGATCTGGAGCCCGGCACCAACCATGGGCAGCAGTTTGCTGAGCCCAGAAGACCCACAGAGACCCTCACTGACTTCTTCCCTACCTGGATAAAAATGCACAAAAGCTGGATGGAGCATTCATACTGTAAATTTACTGGTAAATTATGTGTTGCTGATGTGCACCATACACACAGTGAGTCAATAGCAATGTCTGTATATGTGGTTTTTTAAGTGAAGGTAAAAGCTTTGCAAAAACAGCCGAATGGTTTTGACAGCTGGATAGAGCACCCCAGGCTATTTGGAGATGGGGGGTTAAAGTGGTAGGAGACCCGGTTTCCTGCATAAACCATCAACGTTTACACCTGGCAAGCCTGCATCTCGTCTTAACTCCCACTTTGGACAAACCGATACTGAGACAAGACAGACAGAGTGATGTTTACGCTGCTCTCCCATTTTCGTAGGGCATTAGATGTTGGGACATCAACAACCCCATTGCGCTCTTAGTTTTTCTTGCATTAACTCCACCCAGCAAACCATCAAAGATAAATGATTTTCTCAGCCTCACATTCAAGTCTATCTTTGTTTCACCATCTTTCTGGCCCCAAAGTTGCCCAGAGGATTGAGTTTCATCGAGAACCAGAGTCACCCCCATCCCTTAGTGGGCCTCTGCCACGCCGCTATTCCAGTATTAGATGAAATCCGAGCGGCTGGCAGGAACTGGTATTTGTAGACAAACGGCCCTTTTGAGATCTAAGCCTCTATTGAGTTCTTCTATGCTTGAAATCTGCATAGTCCGTAAAATGTTTATTTTCCCCTCTTTTAGTAAATGGAAAATAGATGCATTTTACTTGCTCGATCGTGACACCTTGAGGTTGCTTTTAGTCACACTTGGAGGTAGGATACAATTTCTGACCTGCATGTCAATCAAATGTTAGTCTGCACTAGGGTAAGTGTGAAAATTAACCTGATACTACAAATCTGGATCTAACCAACCCGTTTGATCGCAGGACACAATGATCCCTTCATGAATGAATGCAATATAAGTCGTTGTGGTTTTTAGACAAATTCTGTTAATATATTTCATAATGTCACTTCTTAAAACTTAAAAGCATGCCACACGTATGACACTTGTGGCCTGATCTGTAGTCAAACAGGAGCATTGTGTATTTTAGAACATTCTGTGTATTTAGGATTGCAGCTATAAGAGTCCTTTAAGAGCAGGACTTTCTGCTGCTCCACGCCCTGACACGCTTATGTGGGCTGTCTGACCTGGCTGTGCACCACCGCCCTCAGCATCAAACTCAGTCAGCATGCAGACAAACACTTTTACTCGCTGGCTGTGGGTAATGCAGTCATTCGGAAAATGACAGGTGCTGGTATGCAGTGAAAACTCATGGACATACTGATCCCTTCCAGCTTTAAGGGTTTAAAAGTACATTGGTGCGACGGACCCTCTGCTCACACCCGAAAGACACGCCGCTTACGCCCGGAAGATGCACAGCTCACACCAGAGAGAACATGATTTTGCGCCCGATTTCCGCTGGTAGTAGTGGGGTTTTTAATGAGCCGGGTCCTGCGCATTGTTAGCGCAGTGCAAAGTCATTGCGCTTTTGACCAAAAAAAAAAAGCACATGAAATGTCAGTAACGCAGTGTTAAACGTGGATTATAAATGTGCGACTGTACGACGCTCCTTATTGACACACATTCGCACTCAAAATTCACTAATGCTTTGTTGTTATTTTATTTTATTGATGTACGATTTTTATAGAGTACATCTGTTGCTTTCATATAATAATGCGGTTTAATGAAACATCAAAAGAAAAACAATATATCCTCCTGAGACCCCACCCATTCATTTATGTCCATTGTAGTGGACATTTTGTTTTTGCATCTCTCTTTTCACTGATGTAAGGAAACGTATTTATTCCTGTTGTACACTAAAGAGGACATGCTGTGAAATTAAAAATAAAAACAAAATTGAAAAAATCTAAATTGTAAGATGTCTTATTTCCTCCAAAGACAAATAACCTAAAATTGAAGGACACTTAAATTTGTCCTTGGGTCTCAGGAGGATATATTAAGTAAAGAACTAACCGTATCATTAAAAAGCCTTTCGATGTCATTATCGGAATTATAAGCACGTACTGCAATTGAAAGGACATTTAGTTTGCAAAAATTACGTTTTTTAGATATTTGTATAAGTCATGTATGAGGAACACTACAATGCAGCCCGCAGAAGACTGTGGCATGTTGTATCTTGTGTAACGTTGCCATGCTCGATGGATGTCTGTTGGACGTAAATGAGGACACATTAGAAGACTTTAGAAGGCGTGACGCTGAACTGCATGAGCCGATGCCAACAAAGGATCTGTACGGCTGCAGTATGAGCAAGGAGGGGTCAGCCGGCAGAGGAGCTGAATCGTCTGTAGCCTGGTAAGGAATCTAAATTGTTTGTTGTAGAAAAATAACCCAATTACATTTTATTTGAACATTTTTAAATACCTTAAAACTGTAAGTTGTCTTTTATTTGAACAACGATCGCACTTTTATTTGTATTCTGCTAACCACAATCCCACAATTAAAATAAAAACACACAAGCATAATTAAGTCCTCGTTCCCAGCCACTGTGTTCATTCGGCAGCATTATTATATCACTTTTGGCGCTGTGCAGATGAGCTGGTGATGCCAGAAAACGAGGACACACTCGCTGCTACCTCATCCCATGCCTGCTTCACTCGAAAGGCTTTGGTAGTGCTGAATAGCCAAATTGAATTGGAAACACCCATAACTGTTAGTTCCGCTTTGTGCTTTGCATTAGATCGTTAAAGTAGAGCCCATGGAGAACATGCTCCTCACACCCGAGAGACGCCACTCACACACAGGGGACACGCCACCAGAAACACAGCCTTAATTTAATCGCGTGTCTGTATAGGCGGCCCTTTCAGCTGTCCTTATTAATTTGAAAAACTCAAGCATTTCCAGTGGAAACAAGGATAATGAAGCACTGCTCACATGCCCCACTGTGCTGCAATTTAATGCGCGAAAAGGAATCATTCATCCTGAGCAGACACATGTTCGCTGCTAAAAGCAGGTGTTTGATCATGGGAGAGGACCAGGCGGTGCGGAGGAGCTGTGTGGTCTTTATAAGTCCTTCAGGGGAGATCACTCCTCGATTATTACAGTTAATACACACTTCAGGAGGTCCTCAGTAGATTAAAGGGAACGTGACACGGTACCGTTTAAGTGCCAGGAGCCCTGCGATGGGTCAGTTAGAGTTCATCCGTTATCATTCACAACTTCATATTGGCCAGTGAAGAGAGTCTGTCTACACGTCGCAAATAATGGTTTAAGTATAGAGGGGGCAGACAATGGAGGGATTTATGCGGATGGCCTCTTCTCAGCATACGGCTGATGCACGTAGAGCTCTCTGGTGTTCTTTAAGGTGTTTCATTGAACATGACAGGGAAAGACTTACAGCGTTTTCTGTGGAATGTCATGTTCGGAGAAGTCCGGATGTACAGTGCTGGTAGGAAAACATTCCCTACAGGGACAGTGTGTGTGTGGGGGGGTCATACCTGTTAGCTAAATTTATTACTAATGATCATGTGAAGAAGATCTGATCTTCAAAGGCATGCAGGAGTGCCCTAGTATGAAGGACATAAAACACAAGTATTAGTAATTCTAACAATTTGGGTCCAGGTGAATAAAACTACAAATGGATAGAATTAATTTTCTTTTAGTGCCTTTCCCAACATAGTGGACCCAAAGTTCTTGACAAAAGTTTAGCAACAAAGATGACATTTTCAATAGGCCTAGTGAAAGCAATTATATAAATAAGTGTTAAAAATCCAAAACACACTAGCAGGGTTAGGGGAACCTAGTTTGAGGATAAACCGCCCCTTTGGCTGTCCAACACCCCCGAACAGGTTACCATACTTGTACAAGTTAGAAATGAGTGTCTAGTGTGTTAGGTAGGAGTAGAGAGTTGCGCCAACCAGAGATTTTCAGAGTATGGTTGCCAGCCGTCCCTTATAATACGGGATCGTCCCTCATTGGAAAACAAAATGCAGCGTTCCGTATTATATACGGGACGAGAGGCTCCGGGTGTGACAGGATGGGTTAGTGTCAGATCCATTATGCACAGTCACGATTTTTAATCGCTCCGGCTTTTTCCACTTTGGATTAATGTTTAAATACTCTAAAATAAATTTAACTTGGCTTTTCCGCCGTAGTTTGGGTCACGTGTTTACTTAATTTAAAAAGCGAAGGAAACCCTATTCAATTTCACCGTTTTTCCATTTCCACTATAATATTAGTGCCCAACAGATGGCGCCGTGCGCAGCTAAAACAGCATGCTGACAAACTGCCTTCGTAGTTTTGTTTGAAAGGTTAAATGGTTTTCTAAGTATTGTAATTATTCATTTTCCCCATGCATGACTTTTAAACCTCTTTTAAATTTATAGAATCCCGTGATAATGAATAGGATATGAGTTTGGAAAACGGACGGACGGATAGATGGATGGATGGACGGACAATTATTTAATAGGATACCTTTGCTTTTGATTAGTCCCGGATACTATATCTACGTGTTTAGCTGACTGTTAGAAGCTCAGGAGACGGAGTACCTCTCCCAGGGTTTGCTCCGTTCATGCAGCTTACTTGGGCGATCCTATCCCATAAAGAGCACGCCCACCGGGACAACAGATGGGGTTGGGCAGGAGCGCGCCTGGCGCGTTCTCGCACTTCGCGCTCACAGTGAGAGGCGTGCAGTCAGACCTGAGAGCGGGACGCCGGTTTATTTACGGCGGAGTGCAAGGAGTCACACGCGGGAGACTTTCCGGTAAGTGCGGAAGAATATTTCTTTAAATCGTCTCTAAGCGAGTAAATACACTGCCCTGGGGATGTCTGGATTAAGGAAATTAAGGATAGCCTGCTATTTAAAAACGGACCCGGGTGAAATGGGACTGAAATACAACGTGCGCGCTGGAAAACAATGTGTGCCAAGTTGTTATAAAACAGTTTTAAAAGTTGTTTTAGTCGGATGTCTTTAATAATCGTTTTCTGATAAGTATTTCAATATTTATGCTCTTCTAACCTAAACATCCCTGCCAGGTGTCTAACTATCTGAGCATTTTAATTACACGGTTTTAAATGCAAACTCATTTTTGGTGCTCTTGACATGAATTAATATTAAGGTTTTTAAAGGCTAGACAAAAGACCTCGGGGTGAAGGGGCGGGAGACCGCGTCTCTCTATGTCTCCATACTATTAAGCCCAGTGTCATTGCGAATAAAAGTCATTTCTGTATATTTATATAGCTACATAAATGTGCAGTTCTGCATCAAACATTTTAATGCTGTCTTATGCCATATAAAATAGAATACAGCAGGTAGTTTCTAGCTATCGAAAATATCTAGGGCTAAGTCAAGTTCACCTGGGGCTTGACTTTTTATTATTATTATTATTATTTAAGATTGGCATTGGGGTTGAAACATTCGTGGCTAGGCTTAAAATACTGGAGGCTATACCCTCGAGTGACCTAAGGACGTCCATGGTATACACTCTATAAGATTTTCAGAGATTTAGTCCTATGATAGCTTAAGATGTCGTGCTTAGATTTCGACTCTGATAATCACGATCACATCTGGTCGACATTAGTCTATTTCTGTGCTCTAATAGGGGCAAAAACATGAGGGATGATGGACGTGGCTTAGAAGGTTTTTTTTTTTTTTTTTACAAAAATAATAATAATAATAATAATAAATCAAGCAAGAAAACAAATGGGTAACTAAATGAGAAGTCCTCGCATGAGTAATTCGTAAGGTGTACAATACAGCGGTAGGTTACAGTTTTATACCAGGATAAAACTCCTCTTTGAGTCCTTTTATCACCGCGTCACCCGGTTACGGTATCGTCTCCGGTCGCAGATAAGTATGTTTGTTCCATGGCCTGGCAGTGGGTCTCCCGTCTCATCCTCACCGGCCCCGGAGGCCGAGCCCCAGAGCACCTGCCGCGCCGCTAATGGCACCTACGGCTGTAAAATTCCTCTTTGGGATATCGATCAGCCGCGTTATGGGCCGGGGGCGTTGGGGGCCACGGATCGCCGACCTGTCCGTACATGGACAAACGTGTCCGGTGCAAAACTCGTCTGTGTCCGTGGTTATAAAACAAAACTATGTAGGCTACGATTTTAAATACCATGTCTGTAAAAATTGCATTCTGATCAAAATGTCAGTCTGAATTTTCTGTGGATTTGACCTGTTCGGGGCTGAAGCTCAGCTTGTTTAGCTCAGCTGTTATAACAAGCCTCAGTCTGAGAAGCCTCGGACAGATTGTCTTAAGATCCTGGCACTTTATTCATCCGTTTTCTACTACCGGGGTCACAGCCTTGTGATTTATTAGTTTTAAAATGAATACATTAGGCCTATATGAAGATGTACATTTACCTCTAGAGAATCTGGGGAGACAGAGAGCTCGTCCAAAGCAAGTCTTCACTCTTTAAAAGAGATGACAGTCAAATTTATGGACAATGGCATGCAGTTTTATTTTGGATCAGGACTTACTAATATGCTTTTAACTAATTGGCCATTATGTAAAGAGCTGTAGGATAAACACCTCATGCCCTGTGATGGACTGGCATCCCATCCAGGGTGTGCCCCACCCTGTACCCTGTGATGGGCTGGCATCCCGTCCAGGGTGTACCCCGCCCTGTACCCTGTGATGGGCTGGCATCCCGTCCAGGGTGTACCCCGCCCTGTACCCTGTGATGGGCTGGCATCCCACCATTTTAACCTTGCCTGGGGAATCACTTCTGTGCAGTTGTCATTCTATAGGAGGAGCTGTAGTGATTTGCGCTGACAGGTATGAAGCGGTGTTATGAACTTTTGTGTGATTGGCTGATGTCTCCAGTGTGTGTGCTGTCCAGGAGTGCATGAGGGACAGGGTGACAGATCAAGTCAGAGCATGGACGGACCCCAGCATAATCCTGTAAGGATGATAGGGGGCGCTGTTTCCCCGGGAGAGTCAGCCGGAGTCACAGCTTATTAATGCTCATCTCCCACTGATCACTGTCTGGACCCAAGACACAGATTTAAATCCCAAACGTCAACCTGAATGAAAAATCACACAAAACAGTTTCAAATGTTTTCTATAATCAGGAAAATGAAAAGACAATTAACAGAAAAGATTGTATGGAAGATACAATTTACGGAACATATTGGTTGTATAGGAGTGATATTTGTAATTGATTGTAATTGTAATTGATGGAGGACACTGACTGACCTCATAGCCTTGGAATTACATCTGCTCTTAAAAGTCCTTGATCAAGTTAAATGGTACCATGGAGACATGACCCATTAATGGATGTCGGCTTTGCCCTTGGCCCCCGTTTACACCTTTCTCTGTCAATAATGTCAGCCTGCTTTGGACCCCCAGAGGTTTTTTTTCTCCCTACGTGGGAGTGTTTAGTTCCTCTCCTCTGTTGTCATCTTTCTTTCATTCTTGTCTTCCCAATTCCCTGTTTTTGTCTTATTCTCTATAAATGATGCAAGAATGTATCATAACACACCCTCGTAAAGCACATTGGGGTGACTCTGGTGTGACAGGCACTATTTAAAAATAAACTGGTTTGAATTGAATATTTTAGTCAGTGTGTTGAAATTGCAGTGTCTTTCACAGTGCTTGTGCTTGACAGCCAGTGGCCCACGTGGTAATTTGTGATGCATTCCATCTTGTGACGATAACAATGTCGCTGGATTTGTAGGCCGGAGATGGCCATGTGTGCAGCTGCCCCCTGAGAGCAGGAATTAGGTACAGTAAGGTGCTGGAGGCAATTGCAGGACAACTCCAAACAGCCTGAAACAGGAGCTTAGAGTCAGTAGGCCGATCCATTTGGGGGGGGGGNGGGGGGGGGGAAGTAAAACAACACAAACGAAGTGGAGGAGGATGCGGCGTCTGCGTTTGGCCGTAGGATGGGGGGGTGGGGAGGGTTCACAGATGGCCTCTGCTGTTTCAGTAGCTGCTCCTTCCACAGTCACATGACGTCCTGAACATGGGGGCAGTGTGGGTGGGATGCCACTTTGCTCCTGTTATTGCATGTGCACCCCCCGGCCGGCAGTTTGGTATCTCCCGCGGCGTGATGCAACTTCCTCCCCCACACTGACCTCTTCTTAGTAGCATCTGTGAATTAGCATGATTGCAGCTATAATGAAATACGTTTTGATCAAAAGCATGACTGTAATATGTTATTAACCATCCGTGAATAACTCACTGCAATTCCTCTCAGGAACCAAGATAATAATTGAGCATGAAATGAAACGGCTTGTGCTCTGTGCCTCATGTCACTTGGTGTGTTCTGAGCACTGGTCACATGACACGATGAGTTTTAAAAGATCCCATTTTGATCTGACAAATTTTAAATTTACCGGTGGTTTTATGTTGTGCTAAATGTCGTTCTGTAAAAATAGTCTGTAAATTGGGATCTGGGAATCTGTCTGGATTATACGATATTCGCAGCAAAAAGGGGGTATGCCGGGCTTTTCTATTAAAATATGTTTTATTAAAATATAGATGAAAGGGAAAGGATATATTTTGCCAGAGTGGGGTGAAATGTTTAATTTAGCGAGCACTTTGAAGTTCAGCTTTTTCCTAAGGAAATCTAGGATCTGAGAGTACCGTGTTTTCATGGCAGGCGTGCAAGACGTGAATGCTGAAGAATGTCAGAGTGTCCTGTCTGTACTTTGGGTGTGAGAGGTTTAGTCTGCAGTGTGATATCCGCTCGATTCATAAGCTAAGACATGTGACATTTCGCCGCAGAATATATGCACATAGGAGGTTTACTGTTTGGTCTTGAAGATGTGCTTCACTGCACTGTAATGGAGTGTGTTTGTCCACTTCACTGGGCCACATGTAACAGCATGTAGCAGAGTAGATATTACAGCTCTGGAAAAAATGAAGAGACCATGCTATATTTTTTAAAAAGTCTGATTTTTTAAATCCGGGTTTAATCCTGCTTCTGCTGGCAGAAGGCTACACTGCGTGGCAGGCTGCTTCCAGGCTTAAAGTTCCTAAGACAGCAGTACAGAAGATCAAGGTGAAGCAGGAGACACTGACAATAACCAAAAACCAGCCTGGTAGAGGGCAGAAGCAACTTACTAATGCCAGAGATGAGCATGAACTAGAGCTGGGCGACATGGCAAAAAAAAAAATTATCACGATATTTTTTCCTGTATTAACCAAAATCGATAATTATCAATATTATAGTTTCACAATGCCATCAAAATAACAATAAAAATAACCCTATTCTGACAAATAGAATGAATACATTGAAATAAACAATATTAGTAAACAAATATTTATTTTCCAACAAATTTTACTGTTTACATACAAAATTCCCTTAAAATTATAAAAGGTTATTGATTTTCAAGTATTCAAAGAAACATAGCTCAAATGAACAAAACCATATAATAATGTAACAATGTGCAAAACTGTATAATATTGCAAATATGTTAAAGGGCAAACATAAAATAAAGCAGGACAGAACTGACAGCAACAAGTATCTTCCTCTATTCCTGGTCTCTTAAAAACTTTAAAAAATTCTGAGGTAGAAAAGTAAAACCAAGTAAAAAACACTTATTCAAAAAAAAAAAATGCCAAATCATGGTTAGATTCTTTTGTCTGGCGCTGCAAAACGTCACCACACGTCATCATGTCACATGGTACAACATCCTCGCGAGAGCAAGACGACTTGAGACAGATCGTGCAGCACAAACTTGCCGCATTCTCTAAAACGGAGCAAACTTGGTTGATCGAGTTCTATAGTCTGTGTGTATCATCGTGATCG